CGACACCTTGACTCTTTTCTGGTTGGCATATGTTTCTACTTACACATGCCAAATGCTGCAAATGCTATGAAATCTTCCAGATAAGTCAGAATATGCCTACGGAGCTGAAATATCTCCACAGTTATGCAGCTGCTGAACAAGGCTGGTTGGATTTTTACTACTGCCAGTCTTCAGTGAACCATGCCTTAGGTTCAAATATAAATACTTATATGTGATATTAAATCTGCATATTCTATGTAACATTGATTTTAAGAAATATTCACTGTGAGAAAAACTGAATATGGATACTTGCTCTGCTGATCAGTGCCTCGAGTTGTGATCAAAGCTTACATTCACCACCTCTAATAGTGTTCAAGAACTTTTATTTAGTAGGTAAATGTACTAGGCAATGTGAGCAAAGCAAGTAAGTGAATATTCTTCTTCCTTTCTTCCATGGAGAGATAGCTCAAATATTATAAGAGTGCTAAGTGGACTGTCATTGGACATTAACAGTAAAATTACCATGTCAATCACGATTTGGTAATTTCATTTATTTTCTAAAATTTAATCTAGTTGGAAATTAAGATAGATACAATTTTGTGTTAATTTGATTGTCATAAATCTACATATTAGTCCTGATTATTCCAGCTGTGCCATTTTTCCACGTCCAAATTACAAAAAACTTTCAAGTATCCTGCACATCTCTCATTTTCCAAATATACAATCATCATTTAAAATATCTCTTTTCTGAATATTCAGATAATAGCTATATTTATATTAATTATCTACACAGCCTTTTTGTATAGATACAATGTAAAGCCCTTTCTATTTATTTAATTTCCCATTGTAAAACACTTCCTCTTTCTTTCAGTTAAAGACTTTTCCCTTTTCAAAGGAGCCCTTTGCAACCACAGTTTTAATTTTGTTCCCTCAAGCCTTAGAAAAGATTACTTCCCTTTCTGCCAACTGTTCCATGCTCCTGCAATGCTCTCTTCATGTTTTGCGAGCCTCCCAGATGCTTCATCTCCCCACCTCTGTAGTTTAGCAGCTCCAAATTCCATAGTGTTACTAAAAAGAAACAAAGCTGCTGACAGAAAATGCTTCAGTAAAATAAGCCACTTTGGCGTCAGGTGTGAAAAAAGCAATTAAGCAATACAACCTCTACATCTGCATAATTTTTCTAATCCACAGTGTGGCAGGAACCTCAGTGCTGACTCACACTTAAAAAACAAACCCTGCAAATACAGGTTCTGACCTTGTAACAAACCCAAGCTGAAATAACTACTTTGAAAGATATGACATTTCAACAGTTGTTCACCCCCCAAAAACAAAACCTTAGCTCCTCTGTGCTTATTCTGTCCTCTTACTGAAGCAAGGCTATGCCAGGTCATAGTAAATTATACACCAAATGCTTTATCCTACTATATCCTGCTCTGCCGCTTTCTATCTCTACTTACCCTCCAGAATCCTTCCACTTCTGACCTATTACAAAGATCTTATATCCAGCTGTACTACACTCTCAACACAAGCCAAACTAATCCACCTTCAATCTCCCAAGATTCCCTTTGACCCAGCTACTACAGAAGTGGTGGCTTGAGAGCAGATATGATCTGCAGATTATCATAATACAGATTCTCTCCACAGGGCTACTGCCAAATGCCTACAGGTTGAGAGATTTCATGTGATGATAGTAGCCACGTTACTGAAGGGTGAGGTGCTTTAATTATGCCAACATTTGGATACCAAATAAGGTGCTTTCCAACTCTAAGGCAACTGTTTTAAGAAGCAAATTGCGTGCTTTAATCTACTGAATATATTAAAATGCAGAAAAATGATAAAACACAAGGGTTCATAGGAATCAAGCATGGCTTGAAAACAATTAATAATACTGCTGTTTACAAGTGAAAAAAAAAAAAAAAAAAAAAGGCCCTCAAGAATTCTAACAATTTAATTCAGAATAAAACTTCAAGATTTTACTAAAAAAAATTGCAAGGTTTGAAAGGGAATTGACTAAGGAAATAATCATCTTACTCCTAAGTTAACTTAATACAACAAATGAAAATACTTGATTAAAAAAAACTCTTAAGTTTAGAATTCATAAAAAAATGTTCCAATGTACTGTAATTTCATATCCACTGTAGCTACACCTGGGAAAAAAACAAGAAGTAGTAATATTTTATTATTATTAAGCTATGGAAAATTACAGGATAAAAAACTACCAAACTTCAAAGTAAAACAGAAATCACAGATAGAAATAGTCTTCCAACTTGACAGCACTGCATAGTTCTTGGATTTTTTTTTTTTTTTTTTCCAGAAGTGCTAGTTTTTATAAATATGAAAGTAAATGCACCAGCTACACTATTCTAGTATAGGTATTTAAATACTTGTGTTCTTACTAACTCAGGAGTTTAAATGAAAACTAAGATGGAAAAATATAACAGTGATTTGGGGAAATTATTTTATTATATCATATTATATATTTCTGAACTCCAAGCAAACATATCATGAACTGTTCAGATAAGATATTGTATTTATTTCATACTTATGAAAAAGAAAAAAAAAATAATCAGTGCTATTAAATAGGAATAGAATTCTGGAGTTCAAATCTGTATTTCTTCAAATAACTAAGAAGCCAAGCAAAGAAGCTACTAGTAGAGCCATACCAAGGAAAAAAAAAAACCTAAGCTCTTGGCAATTACCTTTACAATAATTTGTATTTAACTCATAACTAATGGTAAAACAATTAGTGGCTTTTCAATTTTTTCAGTATTCCAAGTATGGTCTAGTACATCCAGTGCTCAGTGTAGTATTAATAAAATTATAACAGAACTTCCAACCAAAATCTATTGCTTCACATCAATTTAAAAGTTCCAATACTTGAACACAGCAAAGTTGTTATAGCAATTATACTAGTTGAAAACTCACAAGCCTGGTCCTGATTTAAAACATCCAATTGTCAAGTTCCTTAGTAACCTGCTGCATGAACTATGCCAGGGCTAGAGATGTGCAAATGCTCCCAAGGTCTATGGCTCTACAAATCCCTGCCTTGCCATTCAGCTTTCACAGTATCCATCTGTTACTCTGTTGCTACTTGCCCACTGGCATGACAGAAAGATGTTTCAATTTTATTTATTTTCTGTACTAACTGCAGAAAGCCTGAATTCCAAAATTAGAATCGCATAACCATAGAATATCCTGAGTTGGATCCGTAAGGATCGTTGATTCCAACTCCTGACTCCATGTAGAAACACTCAAAACAAACAAACGAATAAACAAACAAAAAAACCAAACCCCACAGTCCATGTGACTGAAAGCACTGTTCAAGCATCCCTAGCGCTCCAGCAGCTTGGGGCTGTGCCCACAGTCCTGGGCAGCCTGTTCCATGCCCATCACCCTCTGGTGTAGAACTTTTTGCTAACACCCAACCCGATTTTCTCCCTGACAGCTCCATGCCATTCCCTCGGGTTCTATCACTGCCACCAGAGAACAGAGATTAGCACTGCCCCTCTGCCCCCCATTTGTGAAGAACTGTAGGCTGCCATGAGGCCTCCCCTCAGCTCCTCCACTCTGGGCTGAATAAACCAAGGAACACCCAACCACTCCTCACACCTCTAGACCCCTCACCATCTTGGTAGCCACCAAGTGGAACCCAGAACTGCATGCAGTACTCAAGGTGAAGCTGCACTAGCACAGCAGAGTGGAAGAATCCTTCCTCTCAATTGGCTAGCAATGACACACTTGAGGCAGCCCAGGATACTGTTGGTTTTCCTGGCTGCGTGGGCAAGCTGCTAACTCATGTTCAACTTGCTGTTGACTAAGATCCCCAAATCTCTTCCTTCAAGGAAAAGACAAAAATAAGCTAGTCAGACAAGAGAAGTAGAAGAAAAGACTCTTTTGACTCTACTCAATGAATAATGTTCTGCAAAGTACACTTTTGAAATTACCAAATAAAAACAGGTCTACTAGGAAAAAGCCTTAATTCTGAAAGATGCAGAGCAGCTGGCTTCCTCCAGAAGTTAAGAGGTTGATCTACCTGCAGCTCACCAGAAACCAAGGACAGCATCAGTTGCAACTTTTATTATGGTGGAAAAACTAACAATTACCTGGCAGACCAAGGATAAGGAACCTTACACACCCATGCTACCTGAGTCACCAGTTCATATTTTCCATCTGACTTGAACCTACTTTTACCAACATACCCACAGTTAATGAAAGACAACAATGTCTACAGGTGAAGTATTGAGAACTTATGTCAAAACAGACATTCACTGGTAACATAGTAGAGCTTAGCTACAATGAAATAGATTCCTAGTAACTATGCAATTCAAGCAAGGACTCAGAAAGACTAGTTTTCACAATTTTATTGAGGGGGAAGAGATATTTAAATGGCTTTTACAACTTCCACAACATGTAGTGACACATGACATCCGACTCCTACTTTGGAATAATACAAGTAATAAATAATTATAAATCAAGGATCGACGAAACCCTGGGTTAACAAGGAAACAGCCACTCCTCAGCCACAGAGCAGCTCACCATGGATGCAGGGGCTGTCAAGGCATGTCCCAGCTCCCAGGAAGGCCACAGAAAGGAAACCCGCCTGCACGCAGCATTACAGGCATGCGGGAGACACAGGGGCAACACCTGCAGAACGCTCCGTACACGCAGGCACGGCTCAGCACACTCCGCGTTTTGCAGCCGGTACCCGCGGCAGCCGCCCCCCATCCCCTACAGCGGTGCAGCTCGACGACTCGTCTCAGGGCTGCCAGCCTCATAAAAGGAATGTGTAAAGCAGCTAGCAACGCTACCAGAAACGAAAGCCAGCCCTACCCTCCGCGGCGACTTCACAACTAGCCCTGCGGCTGTGCGCTTGCGCAAGAAAAAGCGCCACTTGACAGCGTTTCCTCCTCCTAGCAACGCCTGCCATTGGCTACCGAGCATTCCCGAGCGGCTTCGTACACCTCCGGAAAAAAAGCCGAAGAAGGGGGCGAAGGGGAGGGAGAGCAAACGGCTGGAGCGCAGCGCGGTGCATTGTGGGGCGGAAGCAGAGAGTCACCGCTCCGTTAGGGCCGCCATCTTGTCTGCGTCCGGACCTGCTGCTGTTCTCGGGGCCTGCTCGTTCTCCTCGTCGCGTGAAGCGGTAGAGAGAGTGAGGACGCGGCGTAAGGCCGGGCGGTGCTGATGCGTGCGGGGTCTCCTCGCTCTTCCCTCGGGCGCCGCTAGTAGAAGGGGCGGGAGTAGCCGGGCGGTCTCCGGCGCGGCCTTTCCTCTCGGCCGGGATGGGTCGGTCCCGCAGCCGGAGCTCGTCCCGTTCCAAGCACACCAAGAGCTCAAAGCACAACAAGAAGAATCGGAGCCGCTCGCGGTCCCGTTCTCGGGAGAAAGAGCGGGCGCGGAAGCGCTCCAAGTCACGGGAGAGCAAACGCAACCGGCGCCGTGAGTCCCGGTCCCGCTCCCGCTCCAACACGGCCCCCTCCTCCCGCCGCGATCGGGAGCGCGAACGCGAGCGCGCCTCGTCCCCGCCGGACCGCATCGATATCTTCGGGCGCACGGTGAGCAAGCGCAGCAGCTTGGACGAGAAGCAGAAGCGGGAGGAGGAGGAGAAAAAAGCAGAGTTCGAGCGGCAACGGAAAATGTGAGTGCCGGGCCTGGGCTGGGGGCTGCGGGGTGTGAGGTGGGGGGGGGGAGTGAGGGAAGGAAGGGGATGGTCCGTGCTGCAGTGCCTTCCTCCCCTAAGCTGGAGCCGTCTGTTCTTGGCAAGAAGGCGCTGAGGCCTTGCTGAGGCCTGCTGCTGCCTGTTTCCCGCCATCCTTCCCGAAAGGTTTGTTCTCTCGGGTGCGTTGAGGCCTCCCGCTCCGAGCAGGGCCTGCTGTACGCAGCCTCCCGGTCACCCAGCAACGCATGTTGTCTGTCGTGCTGCTGCGCTGCTCTTAAACTTCGTCCTACGGTGAGGCCTCAGCGCCCGGAGGCTTTGTGCTGCGCTGCCACGCTCTGTGCCCCTCCCCTCGGCGTGGCGCTTGTTGTGCGTCGAGAGGAAGCATTCGGGGTGGCCTATCTCTGGGTCTGAAGAAATGCTGAGCAGTCACTATGGTAACTTTGGATTTTGTTGTACTGTGTATCAACAAGGGAGAGCGCGAAATCTGGAGAGTTGCTTCAAATGAAGGTCTTCCTTTTAAAGTTTTTGTTGTGGGAAATGCAGGTGTGGGTAGAGTCTGCAGATAGAAAGAGGATTCATTTTAGTAACGTTGTATTATCTTAAGATGTCTAGCAACCTTCTTAAGTTAGAAAAGAGGCCTTTCTTCAGCAAGGGGATGTAGCAGTTATGCTGAAGTTATTCAGCTTTGGATGCTACCCTCACTAGTCAAAGGGCTCAACTGAGGTAGCATTTGTTTGTACGTGTGAGGCCAGCAAGTTCTGATAATTCTTAGGTGAAGCTTTAAGTTTCTGTTCAACTGTGTTGTTCTGATGAAACTTATTTTGTAATTCAGAAGGTCAGAGTTGTCACCTTCAATTTCATTTTTCATCTTCGTTTACTTCAGAATTTGGCAATGGTGTCATGCAGGCGTGTAGAAATGTTAAGGGCTCTTTGAGTTGTTGACCCTACCTTTGCAGTTCAGAATTTTCTTTGGTACCTAAGTTAATAACAGGCATTTTCTGCACCTCTGGAATGAAGAATTGGCATGCACGTCATTATTTGGGAATACAGTGAATAATATATCTTGGTATTCCTTTAGATGCGCCTTATTTCATGGACATATCTTATTTCATATGTGTTCTTTTAAATAAATTGCTTTAAAAATATTATTTAAATAGTTTCAAAGACTACTAAATAAATGACAAAATAAATGCTGTCTAACTTAAAATATTAAACAGTGTTAGTCTTGGTTATTAAGTTTACTGTCAATCAGTGTCCAGAATTCAGAAGGTGAAAGAGAGAATCAGTTCAAGTAGTTGAAAATGAAGTATTAATAATATTTTTAAAAACATATTTAAAATATTTGACTTTTGTGTGGATCGCACTCACTGAAAGCAGCCCAATCTGTAGCTCATTGAGTAAAATTTGATGTAGCAACATGCATGTCAAGTCTTTTTTTTTTTTCTGCACTAAATTATCTGTGCGAGTTAGGAAACTTTGTAATTTGAAGATATTCCTGAACTCCATGTAGGAAGAATGTGATGTTTGGTTGGTACAGACAACAGAATAATAAACTTGTGAGCAAGAAGAAGTGTTGGAAAATATTAGACGGTTGATGCTTCCAGAACACACTTCATGTTTCAAAAAGATCAAGCAGTAAATGTCAACGTGGCATAAACCTATGTTATTTGTGTAAGACATCCCTAATCTGTATTTTACATAGTCATGTTTGGGAAGAAAAAATACTTGCTGACCGAATTAACTAGTGGAAAGATCATATGTGGAAAATGACTTTTGGTGTCTAGATCATATGTGGAAAATGACTTTTTGTGTCTATTCAAATCTTAATACGTACCATGACTTTTGCTTTTAATATCATTCCAGTTTTCTATTTAATAAAAAAAATGGCAGCCATGTATAATTGGTGGGTTGTCCCTCTGCCTCTCCCCCCACCCTTAGAAGTCTGTCTATTGCTAAGCATATTTTGCATATTTGCTAGAACTGGTCTTCAGGAAATAAATGGAAGATACTAAAATTATTTTCACTTGAATGACTTTTCTGTTTATGTGGAGTTATTGCTCAGAGTGACATTTGTATGTAAAATACTATAAGCACTTGTGATTTAAAAAAAAAAAAAAAAAATAGTTAATGTCAACTAGATTGAGGTTTACATCCGTGTTTTTAATTCGCCTTCCCTGAGATATCCAATCAATGATTGGATATAATTATCAGTAGGCACAAGGCAGTCTCCTACTAAACAAATGATGGGAATAAATTTTGACTTTATTCTGCTTTACTTCTTTCTGCTTCCAGAGTTTGAAGAAATCTGGTCACGTATACAGAACAATTATTATAAATGTATAACCCTATTATTGCCTGTGCTCATGGAAAGATGCCTATGTTAGAAGATGTATTTAAGCTTAGCTTAATGGAATACAAATGGGATCCATGGAGGCGATAAGGATAAAATGTGTGTATGGTGTTTGTGTACATCATCAGTTTCTGAGGACATTTGAAAACTTGTTTCAGGCATGAATCGGGGGGTTTTCCTATAGCTGTATACTGTCTTTATTCAGTTAGGTAACTTTCGTTGTAGATTTCCCTAACGTTAAAAGTAAAGCTAAAATAGTTGAATAAAGCACTTGAATGTGAGCTTTCTGAAAAATGAATTTCTGTAGAATAGAGCCTCTTGTGTGTCGTTATAAGATTCATTATAGAAAAAATAGTCCAAAGAGGGAATGAAAGATTGAAAAAATAAAGCATTATTTAGTATATAAAGAGTATTAAAAAAAAAAAAAAAAAGTGAAACTTTTGAGCCTTTCTCCAACTTTTATCCAAGAAAAAGGGACTGTAAGTTGGAGTAGAAGTATTAACAAAATGGTGTTGGTGCATTTTTCTGTATATTTATGCAGAGTTTTTATTTTTTTTTTTTCCTCATTTATTTATTTACTTTTTAAAATAAATCACCTCGTGAAATTTTGTACTGCTTTTGAAAAAGCTAATGCTGACCTGATTTGTCACTGGAAAAAAGGAAGAAGAAATCTTGTATTCTGGGTCTGAATGTCTAAGTTGTAGTTTCCTGAACTTTTTAATATACTTCATTCAGAATACTTCTGTTAAGAGGATACGTGAGCCAGGGGAATCTGGTTGCTTTTGAACTTGATATTTTAGATGAGTATCTAGATTACAATTTTGTGTGTGTCAGGTTTTGGGTGATCCTGTGTGAAGATAGGAGTTGGGCCTCATGGTCCTTATGAGTCCCTTCCAACTCTAGATATTCCGTGAATAAATAAGGTAGGAAAATGTTAGCATTACAAAAATTAGAGGGTATTACAATGTTAAAACAATTTGATGTTATTCTGAACGATGGCTTTCTGGTGCTGTCAGACCAGAAGATAAGTTTGTGTGTTTTTTTACATGGAGTACTTAAAATGGAAGTTCAGTTTCAAGGTAAAAAAAAAAAAAAAAAAAAACAAAACAAAACTAGCCTTTTCTTAAAGACTGTAAGAATCCTAAAGAAATAACACTGTATAAAGTATGGCTAGACAATATTCACTTTGTATTAGAACAAAAAAAAATAGTGTAGTTAACTCTTGGGTATCTAATTATCATACGCAATTGGTTACTACCTAGAAGGTTTTCTATCATCATTTGGTAATAAACCTGGGAATTGACTTAATCATTTTGATGTTTTTTTTTTTGTTTTGTTTTTGTTTTTTAAACTTTTTTTAATGAAAACTTAAATACTGTTCAAGCTAAGTAATAATGCTGCCTCCAAACAGAAGTAAAAGGTGACATTTGAAAATACTTCCAAAAATCTGTAACAGCTATAAGAATTTATCTCATAGAATTACCTGAGTTGAAAAGGATCACAATGATCAATCTAGTTTCAACCCCCTGCTCTGTGCAGGGTCACCAACCTCCAGACCAGGCTGCCCAGAGCCACATCCAGCCTGGCCTTGAATGCCTCCAGGGATGGAGCATCCACAACCTCCTTGGACAACATGTTCCAGTGCGTCACCCACCACTCTCTGGGTGAACAACTTCCTCCTAATATCTAACCTAAACCTCTCATGCCTCAGTTTAAGACTATTCCCCCTTGTCCTGTCTCTATCCACCCTTGTAAACTGCTGTTCCACTCCTGTTTATATGTTTCTTTCAAGTACTGGAAGGCCACAATGATGTCTCCCTGGAGTCTTCTCTTCTCCAAGCTAAACAAGCCCAGTTCCCTCAATGTTTCCCCATAGGAGAGGTGCTCCAGCCCTCTGATCATCTTAGCGGTCCTCCTCTGGCCCTGTTCAACAAGCTCCGTGTCTTTCTTGTGCTGCGGGCTCAGGCTTGGATGCAGTACCTCAGATGGGGCCGTATTTGGCATACAGTGTTTTTGATAGTTATGGTGGGAAGCAAAGGAGAGCTAAAGAATTTGAAATTTGATGTTAAATGTTGATGTTACTGGTGTTGAATTTGATGTTAAATTGGTGTTGAACACCATAAATTCTTACTAAAATATTAGATTTATAACTTGTATTGCTTCTGTTTAGTTTGTTGCCAAACTAGTCTGTTTTGTTTGATAGTGGTTTGGAGACAAGTCTTCCCAGGGTCAGATTGCCTTACTTTGTATAAAACTAAGGGTGAAGGATTGACCAAGCTTTGATGAGAGGTGACTTTTTGTGTGTGTGTGTGTGTGTGTGTGTGTGTGTGTGTGAAATGATGCTTTTTCGCGTTCAGAAGTACTTGATTAAGCTGAGAGAAGCTTAATGTCTTGAGATACAAAGAGATGCTAACTACGATGTGGTCTTGCCAGTCCTTATGGTTGTCTGAATGTTCATTTCAGTGCGCCTTTCAGTGTAGGTTGAAATTACTGAAATATCTGGCCTATACACGTAGCTGTGTGTGTAGCATAAAACTATTAAAAGTTGATTCAGTAGTGTGGTTGGTGCTTTGTGTGTATGAATTGGTGCAACCATTTTTATTGATTTTAAAGTTTATCTTCACATTTGCATTTTCTAGTCGTCAACAAGAAATAGAAGAGAAACTCATAGAGGAAGAAACTGCTCGAAGAGTGGAAGAGCTTGTGGCTAAAAGAGTGGAAGAAGAGTTGGAGAAACGGAAGGATGAGATTGAGCGGGAGGTTCTCCGCAGGGTGGAGGAGGCTAAGCGCATCATGGAAAAACAGTTGCTCGAAGAACTCGAGCGACAGCGACAAGCTGAACTTGCAGCACAAAAAGCCAGAGAGGTAACGCTCGGTCGTTTGGAAAGTAGAGACAGTCCATGGCAAAACTTTCAGTGTCGGTTTGTGCCTCCTGTTCGGTTCAGAAAGAGATGGAATACAACAAATCTAATTCCCTTCTCGTATAAACTTGCATTGCTGTGAAACTTAATTTTTAGCCTATTCAGAGGAGCTCACTGATACTTAAACAGTTATTCTCCTAAAACCTGAACAAGGATACTTGATTTTTAATGGAACTGACCTACATATTTCAGTATTGTTTGAAACTTTTGCCATGGCTGCAGGATTTATCAACGGTCCTTTCTTTTCTGGGGAAGGGTATTAAAAAATCTGTAATTGTGTATCCTTCATTTGTTTCATTTTGTTTACCTAGACTGTAAGAGGCTTTTGCCTTCAGTCAGGCAAAGAGCAGGGTCCAGCACTGAGCTGCAGTACCTGTCTTTAACAAATAGGTTTCTTACTCTTCTTTTGAGACATTTTCTTTGAGCGTACATTGGACTAATGCTGGGACTTGGAGCATAAGCCCATCCACGTCTTCATGAAGGATCTATGTCCAAATCATTATATCCACTTTTAATAACTACTAACAATTCCTTTTTTCCCTAGAAGTTAATGAAAGAGCAGATTGCCCTTGTCTGAAGTCAAGTCAAGCTGAACATGTGACTTGGGTTTTTTTTTTTTTTTTGGTGGGTTTTTTTTTTTTTTTTTTGTTTTTTTTTTGTTGTTTTTTTTTTGAATCAGCAGCTGGAGCAGAAGCTGAAAATGTCTTTCTGTGAGACAGTAATTTGCTACTAAGGGCTTTGCCTGCCTGCACCAATCATTCCAGGATCCAGAAATGTTAGGACAAATTTTAAATTTTGAAGAAAATTTGCGCTAAGCAGTCATGAGTATCAAATCTTTTTTCCCTTTGCACCTTCTTTACTGTTTATCTTAAATTAATACTTTGATTGGCTTAAAAAAGGAAATGCAGTGGTGTTGAAGTTTTACCTTCATACTAAATATGACTTGTCTGTCACAAGCATCTTTAAAATTTAAAAAATGTCTGAGTTATAACAAGTACTAGGGATATTAAATTATACTTGTTCTGTGAATCCAGACCTTACCTATAAAGGAATTGAAGTTGAATTTAGATGTGTATGCTCAGCAAATGCTTTGTATAGGTTTTTATTTAATCGTATTTATGACTTTTTAAAAAAGTATTTTTGTTACATTCAACGTGATGCAGAGAAGCCCCGTCAGTTCTTTGCAGTGCAGAATAAACGTCTATGCCTGGAGTGGAGTGTGCTAGCTAGTAGCTGGTTACTAGTCATAGTAAGAAGTTTTCTCTTCGTATGCTTGCTTTGTTCATATTAACTTTTTTTTCTTACACAGACACAAACCTCTGGCTTACTTTAAGTCTTCCAAATATTAAAATAATTTGAATATATATTATGTGAACTGAAACACCTCAAAATCTTTCACGCAGTCTTCATATTTATGGGTTGCATAACAGAGTTCCATAAAATTCACCAAGAAAACAACAGTTACAAGGCTTTATTTCCTGATCTTGCCTTCCCTGGATTCCAGAATTCCAAGTTCAGACTGCTAATGACAGTTTCAACTGTCTTAAAATTGTCAAAATACTGAATGTAAAGTCCATTCTCCCTATGAAGGAAGCCCATAGCTCCACGAAGTATTGGATTACCATTTGTATTTTCCACTAACAGTAAATGTATTTTTCTTATTAATTGTTTGCCTTAGGAATGATTTACATATTTTTGTTCCTTCCTATCATAAACATCTGCATTCCTCAGCTCAGCCTTCCTTGTATGTTGTTTCTTTATAAATGGTTGAGCTGCTGATGCAGGTATTGCCAAGCTAACAGTACAAATCATTTTAAAGAGGAAGCTGGCGCGTATGGCAGCCGAGGAGCACACTCTGCAGGACACTGGACAAGACAGTAAATATTCAACTTTTAATGCTGATTAAAGGAGTATAGGTAAAGAATACGTAGGTATACTTAATTGGTGAGACAAACTATTCACTTTATTTATATTTTATATATTACTTTTAATTTGGTAAATACTTTCCAGTTTTTGTAGTTGTCCTTGTTGATTTGTGTGATATTAAAGTTGTAGTAATAAATTGTCAGGATTCTGTGATTAGGGAGGGTTTAGTTGGTTGCTGTTTGGACTGGGCGGGATGATATAAATTTAGTATTAGAGATGAGACCGATTTTTAGTGGCTGCACAATTTACCGTTGTGAGACAAAATAGGTGGCTGTAAAGCTACCACTTTAAGTCAGTTCACAAAAGAATTCTGAGAAAGATTAGTGAAAGTGCAGAGATGAATGTTTTACTTTACTAACATCTTACCCTGTCCTCCCCTTTAGGAAGAAGAGCGTGCAAAGCGTGAGGAACTAGAGCGAATACTAGAAGAGAATAATCGAAAAATTGCGGAAGCACAAGCTAAACTGGTATGTAAAGATGTAGTTAACAGTTTTGTAGGGGAATACAGGTCCTTCTGCCTGATTTGCAACAGTATTAAAATAAGCAAATCAATGCTTTTTAGAATTTAGCTTGCCTGTTGCTGGTTATGTCAGCAGTACCGTTGCTCTCCTTCCCTCAAGCATAACTAACCAGATTTTTAGCAGTAGCAGGAGTCTGAAAAAATTGTTCTCGTGCTTTGTTAATTTAGAGCAGAATTGCTTCCTTTAGAATTAAATATGTTTTTGTATCTCACAGGAAAAGATGAAGTAAGTTAGCAAAGACATTCCACTTACAAAAGAAATGACTTAGTTTTTCTCACTGAGCGGGACAGGTGTAAACTGGATTTGAGACTTTTATAATATTGATGCACAGTTGTTGAGCGGGACTTTGAGTAGAAGTTTAAGAATTGAAAGTTATAAAAGTCAATTATGTTGATATGCAAACTGATTTTAAATGAGTTCTTGCCTCGTGATAATGTTCAGAGTAGCTTAGCTGTTTCTAATCACCTCATGATAAAATTTAAGTTGTTAAATGGTGCAACGAACAAAATAAGCACCTCTTAGGAGACCATAGGAAGAGTTGTAAGGATTGTAAGTCAGTGTAAGGACAGACTTGTTAAAAGTCTGTTAAAAATCAAGTAGAAATTGCTTTGAATTAGGAGGGCCTTGGAGGTGAGAGATCTTTGTTGAAGGTCTCAACATTTCATTATATACTTTATCTGATGTGACGTGTCAAGCAAATTTCTCTATACACTGACTTCCTTAATTAACATGTAATACGTTGTTTGCAAAACAGTGCTGAAAAATATTTTGAGTAAGCATTTAAGATTCTGTTATGCTAGCTGTAAATCTGTTTTAAAAAAAAAAAAGATTTTGGCTCTTCTGCATTTGTTTAATGTCATCATTTTTTAAATAGTTCGTTGAAACTGACTGGCATCTAGCTCAGGTAGATGCTTGCACCAATATGTGGAATTGGTTGCAGGCTTTTAAATTGCTTTTATGACTGCTAAATATGTTGGCCTAAATTCTGCCATTTTCATACATAGGCTGAAGAACAATTGAAAATTGTTGAAGAACAAAGAAAGATTCATGAGGAGAGGATGAAACTAGAACAAGAGAGGCAACGTCAGCAAAAGGAAGAGCAAAAAATTATCTTGGGCAAAGGAAAGTCTAGGCCAAAACTGTCCTTCTCACTAAAGAGCCAAGATTAAAATGCTACTCTGAACTCTTACAAGAAGAAAAAAAAAACATTTAAACAAACAAAACAACAACAAAAAAACACCACCAACAAAAAAAACTTTGTATGGTAGCTTCATGTTGAAGTGTTTGTTTTTTTTCTCTCAATTTTTTTTGTCTTTTTTTTTTTTTTTTGAAATCTGGAAAGTTAGCTTGTTCTAATAGGGGCTGTGCTCTGCAATTCTTAATTTTTTTTAAAAACTCCATTAAGGTAAACCCTTATCAGATCATTGTTGCCTTTTAGAGAACTGTTCTCATGTTTGTTTCTGTATTAGTGGTCTGAAGCACATCAGGTCACTGTGAATTGCGAATGATCTGGTAAGGTTTTACGGACCTACTGATCAGAGTTTGACTCTGATAATTGACTGGACTTTATACTGGGTATTGCTGACTCTTAATTATTTTTTTTAAAAGTCAGTGAATACATGAGTAAATTGCCATGGTATTACTTGACCTCTGTGGCTTATTGTTAAATCAGTGTCCTATGATACTGTCCCATTGTTGCGCTTGATGTTCCTGATACAGGTAAGGAAATAGTTTGTCATTTCTGCTATGAATACATAGGGAGAGTTCAGTATTGTCTCTGTTAGATTTGTTTTTATTACATTGACAGCATTCAACCAGCGTTCCCATTGTGTAAATAAACCAATTTGCTGAATAAAGTGAAAGTCTTAAATTCATATGTTTAAGTAAATTTTTTTAGTACACTTCTATAAACAGCTATAAGAATGACAATTCACGTTATTAAATGCAAGACTATAGTGATATATTTTTAATTTTGCTTTAAACTATTGTGGCTTCTCCTACTTACAGTGCAAAATTACACACAGTAAAAAAATCCCTGCAGTTGTGAATGTTTTTGATGGCTGCTGCTGTTTTCATGAACGTTGGTTTTGTTGTGTTTCTTCCTTCTGACAGATACTTATTTCAGCTGTATTATCATGTTTAAACAGCTGTATGGCTTACTGCACCTACACCAATACCTAAATATTGAATCCCCTTCAGTTTACCTCATAATATAGTATACTGCTATAAGTTAATATCATTACCGTATAATGAATCAGATCCTAAAGGATTTAGAAATTGAAGGGTTTTTTTTTCCCCAAAAGGAAAGCAGAAACTAAGATTCTGTTTAAATAAATTGTTTTAGCAGACTGCAAATGCAAGCTCATATACAAGATCTTGAATGTTATCCAGTATTTTGAAAAATGAAACAGTAGATTGAAAATTATATTAAAAAATCCCCTTTTTGTATACAAGTCTTCTACCAGAACCTGAATTACTATAGCTTGTCCACCTCTGAAACTTCTCTCCTACCAGTATGCAATATCTGTAGTATACATAAAATGAAAGAAATCAGTAGTTGCCTGCATTTGAGCATTGCTGGATAAAGGTGGAAATAATTCCTGATATTCTCTACGGATCTGTTTCTGTAGACTTGCCAAATGAAATGTAAAGCAAGTTGAGTGTGTCACTGACAGCAGCATTCAACATGCTTTGTATGAAACCTGGGCTTGGGGGCAGATGGATGTGTATTGCTTTGTCCATTATGTCAAGAAAAATGCAAAGACAGTAAAATATCTACACTTTAACTGTACTTAAATTTGTCTCTATATATTGTATTACAAAAGGAGGTTGAAGGTTTCTTAATGCATAAAAACAAAGGCTGAAACCAAATAAATCATGTACGTGACCTGTTGGCAGGAGCAGGCTGTATTTAAAGCTCAACTGATACCTGTATTTCTAAAACAAAACAACCCCTGTTCCCTTAAGAGAAACAAGCTATTAAAAGTGGATACTCAAACAGACCTATGCATTTTTGTTTCCTCTTCTAAAAGCAAGAAGCTACATTGTTATACATGCAGCTGTGCTGTTAGGAATTTTTGTTTTAAGTCTATGGTTTTCCATTAAAAAGTAGTATTTGTTCTTTTTGCTTAAAATCATGTAGACATAAACTTTGAAAGGTTATTTCTGTTCACACTTCTAGGACTACTGTGTGGACAAAATGTTTTAGTTAGAACTAATCCATTCCACAACTTCCTACCTGTGTTTCTTTGTACTCAACTAAAAACAAACAACCAAACAAACAAAAAAAAAAGGTACAAACAGATAGTTTTGGGGGGTGGACAGAAGTACAGGTGGTGGGAAATGTTCTAGGTGTTAGTGTCCTGTAGACGTGGCACAGATAAGCTACATATTTGCATTGTTCTGGTGAGGGTGTTCGTTTTTGTTTTTTAGTTACTGTAGGACTTCAGGGCTGCTTTTGATTTCTAGGGAAATATGAGGGGTGCAGTTTGGGGATGGTTAATTGACATTTGATAAGAACTTCAGATATATTTGTTTTCCTTTGATACACATCTGATATAAAGTCCGTTAATATGCAGACTCATATTTAGCTAATGATTAACCTGAGTGGGTGTCAGTCTCCATTAAGATATTAACTTACCTGGAAAACTTGCTGAAGTTGCTGCTAGAAATTGTATCAGGTGATTATTTGTTATATTACAGTTTGGAGTTAAAACTTCCATTTTTTGGCTACTAGAGCAGCTTTGTTGTGTTTTTTTTGTGTTTTTTTTTTTTTTTTTTTCCTTCTCATCTCCAGGGAGGCAAGTAAGCCATTTTCAGTAGTTGCTGCCTTGAACAGTATTCATTTTCCATACTTGATTCTAGAGGAGATTTTACTTTTTTTTCACCTACCATCATAAAGGTCCTGGAGAATTATTTTAATATCAGGCAATGTATCCTTCTGGCAGATGCAGGAAACAGCAGAAGGTATCATAGTCCATGCTCTATTTCATAGCGGAAAGAAGTTGCTTTGGAGGTTAAACTGCCCATTGGGCTTCCTGTGTTCATTTATTATTATTTTTGTAAAAACGTGGAAGGCTGAGTGCTGTGAGGTGTACTGGAGAGCTGGAGTCCTAGAAGCTTCACAAGTCAGAGACTTCAGTTGCTCATACCTCTTAAGCTGCCGACTGCATACTGCGTATAGGAAAATATGCCAGTACTAGCTTAAAGTATCAATATTTCACCCGTTCTCTTGTTTTAAAACAGAAGTGTACATCTTTGCTGTCTGGAGGATCGTACACCCGTCTTTCTGATGCTGTTAATGTGCTCTCTGAGTATTTCTCTGCTGCTCTTTAAGTGTACCCCAAATGCGGAGAGATCCGCTCTCAGAGTTGTTTGTGATTCGCTTCCAACTGCACAAAACGTCTTGTTAAGTGTTCTCAGAGTATTTGGGGCTGTGTACTTTGGCAAGCGGCAGTGAAATGATTAGCTGTGCTCTTGTAGAGTCTTAAGTGCAAGTTCAAGTCAAATTCAGGTTTGATAAATACTGTTCAGTTTGCACTGCACAGGTGATTTTTTTATTGCCAAAGACTCCGATACATATATGGTAGCAGTGCCCAGGCTCGAATAGTTTTGGACCGTGAGTGAACTGAGTGGAGCTGAATCACGATTTTTTCACACATCTCTGTTTCATTTTCATGCTAGTGCCACCAAATGCATGCATGTCAGGGGTATTCTCTCTCTTGCCATCCCATCGCTTCGTTAGCCAGCTGGGGAGTACTGCATCTCTCCTGACATTTCCATACTAAACAAGCTAATGTTTCCTATCATCTTTCCTGCACTGACATTTAGGCTGTGTTGGCTCAGTGGTCAGCTGTGGAAAGGGAAACATAAACCCTTACAAAAAGAGGAGTAGCGTAGTAAAGGTTTAGTCCCTGT